ACCCTAACTGTTGGCTCTTTAATAAAAAAAAAATAACCAAAATTGCTCCCACCGAAACTTATTGCCGCCCCTGAGCGGGGCGTAGGCCCTGGGGGCTGAGCGCCCACCTAGGCGGGTTCCGTACCGCCTAGGCGGCCGCCCAGGGTCGACCTTCCAGATTGGTCGCCTAGGCCTGGGCGATGCGCCCAGCCCTTTCGGACCGCCTAGGTGCTGGGCGGTCCACTTTTTGAATCACTGCCGTCACCTAAACCTTGTAAAAGCTGCCCCCCTCTTTTTCTCTTTTCCTCACAATGAACTTCTTTCTTCTCTCTTCTGCAACCTCCCTTGGACGCTCATCTCTCTCTCTCTCTCTCTCATCTCATGAACCTCCCAAGTTGGTTAAAAGAGGAATCTCAAATTCTATTTATATGATGGGTTATCAGGAAGAAGGAAAATGGTAAATGTTGTAATTTGGACAATGAAAGAGGTAAGTTGGGGGTTAAACATCCATTTCTTTTGACTTGGATGGGGTCTATAGGCTTTCCCTGCATCCAGGGGTGGGATTATAATTATAAAGAGGGGGGTATGCATCCTTTTCCCATAATTTAATTCTTACATTCATTAAATTAAATGAAACATATACCAAGTCAAAGAATACATTAGCATCTACTCATCTAGCAACCAAGGTATTGTCACATTGTAGGCTATAGCATAGAGCCAAATGCCACATAGTCATGACATAACATCCTAGGAGACCAAAAGTACTTCATAAGAACATAATATTTGAACTCCAAAGACCAATAATTCATGACATATAAAGTAAAAGTAGTACACTCAATTAGACAAGTCACATGATCTAGCATGCATATCCCACATCCGGAGCCAAAGTTGTGGAGCCATCATCATTTGTATCATCGCCCCCTTCTTCAACATGTACTTCTTCATATTTAGTTTCCTTTTGAGTTCCTCTTCCTCGATCTTTGGAACAGATGTGGACCCAACTTCTTCTTCTGATCTAGTTCTAAGCCGTAGATCTTCTCCATCCCCTGTAAATTGTTTAATATTCAACCAAGTCCTCACCCTCAAACACCTACTTTGATTGTGGATTTAAGGTCCATTTACTTGTACTAGCAGGTTCATTAAAGGACAATAGCGTTGACATCCATCCTTAAGTCTCTCAATGTATCTGCTCATTGTATCGGACATTTGAAAGATCATTTAACTTCTTTTGCTCTAGTCTTTCTTATTTTTTTTCTATGGAGTTGATAGAAAGGAAACAAGCAACAGAGAAAAAGGTTACTTAACTAATGTCTTATGGATTTCTATTTTTCTACAATCTAGATATTTAGAAAATTGAAAACCAAAAGAAAATAGAGTTAAATGCTCAAGTGTGCTGCAGCTATGCTCACAGCCGGATGATTTGCATGTGAAGTCCAACACTCGAATGGAAAGACATTCAAGAATTAGTGTCTCGCTTCCGTTTGATGCCCACTACTCAAGTATGTGCATATTTACCATTAATACAAGTAAAATCAAGAAGAAACCAAAAAGTGAACAACTTTTTGTGTGCAATTCAAAAAGTTCGAAGTTTGCAAATTTTTTATTTCCTAGTTGTTTAGTATCCCTACTGATGGCAGTATCTTATCTAAAGTTCCCTAGTAATTTTGAATTTCATCTTTAATTTGATTTGATCAATTCAAGACTTTTGTCTCATCATGTAAAGTTGAATAGGCGACCAATGTCTCAAGTACATTTAAGAACCCTCCTTAAGCATGAGGTCCAAACAATGTATCGCACAAGGAGTCCAAAACATATGCTTCCTCTTCAATGTCAAGAGATACCTAATTGCAGAATGATTGACGCCATTGTCTATGACAATCTGCACCACGGGTTCTTCCCCAACCATACCCACAATCCCATCCATCAACCCACACAAGTTCCATCATGTCTCTTGTATGATGCATCAACATATTTCACAAAGTTCTTAATGGACAGTTGACCAAAAAATTAATAATTGCCAAAGACTTTTCATCGAACCATTTTAACATGTGCCTGTCATCTTTCACTAAATATTCCTATAATGAATCCCTAAGTTCATAAATGAAGGGCCTTTGAACATGGGACCAAATTTCTCAATTGCCCCAACCATACCTTGAAGTTATTAAGGGGATATTGAATGGGACACTGGCTTGGTAAAACCACTTGGGAATATACCTATGAACCTTATTCCTTTCTTCTTTTTCTGTAACAATTTTCAATTGTTGTTTGTTTTGTTATTTTCCTGCTGTCCTCCACAACCTCAGGGTTTGGGGTGCAAACTGCATCCATTGGCCACTTGGGGAGATGTCAATTTTGCCCAATAGGACATTCAAGAGTGGTTTCCCTCTCTGTTGTAATCCTACATCACCACTTACAACTCCAGTTACATCATCCTTATCTCCTTCATCATCAAGTAACTGAACCTTTATCAGCATATCTTTTTGCTTCAATGCTCTATTGTCTTTTGCTTGTTTCTAGTTTTCTATTAGTAATACCCTAATCGTTCTTCTAACTTATCGGTTGCTTTAGGAGACACCCTTACCATTCCCATAATACTAGCAAGTTGTTCCTTTTACTAGAAAATATAAACCCCCTCCCCCCTCTCTTCTTTTACAAGAAGCACTATTTTGATTCTTAGGGTTGTTGAGTTTTGAATATCTCTGTGCCAGATCTTTGTTAGTCGAAGAAGACAAAGACATTGTTCCCAGAAGAAAAAAGAAAAAGTAAGTATTAAGCAATGAAACTTACAAAGAAAGTTGCTCCTAGGTTTCGAACTTGCAAAAAATCAAACCTACACTCTAAAGAAATTTTGATTTCTAGGTAATCTCGTTACTCCTTGAATTCCTTGGTTACTTGGTAAATTACAAACTCAAGTGGTCTCCTAAAGAATTTCCAATTGTTTTTTCAGAAATCTTTGGATTTGATAGAAACGTTCATTGAGAAACCTACGATTGAATCCCCTTAGAATAGTGAAAAAGTTGGTTCTAAGGGGGTGCTTCAGGGATCACTTTTTTTGGAAATGAGAATGAGTGTCTCTTAGAGAGAGATAAGCCTTCAAGAGTGAGAGGCACGACCTCTTAGAGGGAAGTAGTTTTCCTATGGGGTTTTAAGTTGATTCACTTTCTACTTCTAGAGAGAGAGTCTCTTAGTTGCTTTATGGGACAAAATGTTGGGCAGAATGCTGGGAGGTCAAGAAATAACATATTCATAGGATTATCGTAGCTGAGATGAGAATGTTAAGATGGATGAGTGGCAGGACAAGAAATGATAGAATTAATATATACTAGGGAACTTACGTGTGGCTTCAATAGGCGATAAGATGAGGGAAAGTAGACTTAGGTGGGCTGGCCATGTGCAACATAAACGTACTACAACACCGGTTAGGAGGTACGATCTCATTCAAGTGGAAGGCTCTAAAAGGGCAAGGAGAATGCCCAAAGAATACAGATAGAAGTAGTGAGAAAAGATATGGTGACTTTTAGTCTTACTGAGGGTATGGCCCTTGATAGAAAAGAATGGAAGAACAAAATTCATGTAGCACCCCAAATCATTGGGATAAAGGCTTGGATGATGATGATAAAAGTCTCTTGGTTGCCCTTGAGGTGTGATAGTGGGATAGAGAGGGATTGATGATCAGTGTTATTCGATCATGAGAGTGGGATTAGAAGGCGAGACAAGCAATGGGTTTACTGATGATCAGTGAGAGGTAAATCTCTTGAAACCCAACCCAAACTATAATTTGCTAATGATGTAAACATAGCCACTTTGGGTGGACCACGTATATCTTTGGTTTCTGTGGTTTCTGTGGTTTCCTCCTGTTTTGCTTTATTTGTCACACTTATTTTGTGGTCTTCTCCTATATTGTGTATAGCTGACTATGTATATGATCTTGGGTAGTATCCCAATATTTGAGATTCCTAGTTCCTCAATCGACAGGTTCTTAAGAGCCCTATAGCTTTGATGGCATCACACGGCGAGGGTATCCTATGTAGGCTCTGATTCCAACTTATGTTGGAATTTGGAAAAGTAAGGAGAATGTATGAAAAAAAGAGGAATATAGAGAAGAATGGAAGGTGAAGGAGCATGTTATTTCTCTAGGCCTGCAAGGGAACCCACCTAGAAAAGGTCTCTTCACGAAACTAAAAAACTTACAAACGCAATATTAATTTTTTCTCCCATTTATAATCGCCAAACAAGTATCTATAATGAAGATATCCGTAACCCTAACTGCACTCACTAGTAAACCTAAACTCTTGTCGAAATTATCAACTCCCCAAAATAAAAATTATTATTCGACTCATGAATCCTTTAGGACACTATAAGATAGAAATACCCCTAATATCAGCATTTTTTCTTTTTTGGAAAAAAGTGGGAGAAAGCAAAGTGAGCCCTGATCACATCAAACTGCCAAAGGATGCACATTGTTATTATGCACATGGAACAACTTGTTATCAATAGATTTTCATGTTTTGCAGTATTGGATTCTAAAAACCAAGGTTGGTTGATCAGAATAGATATTTCATTTGTTATTTTAATAGAATGGATTTTTTTTTTGGTAGGAGTATGTAGGAGTGATAGGACAATTGATTATTAAATGACTAGTGGAAATGTGCAAACTTAGACTTTAATTGACAATTTCAGTACAACTTATAGTCAACTATGTAATTGTCCTATGTAGTATCACTGGCTGTTTATTCTTCAGTGGAAGTTCTGACTTCTGAAATGTATATAACAAAGTCGTGTGTTCTTGTTTGGTGATTTACAATATCTGGAGTATTACATACTTTTCTATTTTAGGGGGATTATCATCTTCATTTGGTTGGAGACTCTTCTACTTAGTGATTGTATTCTTCCTTCTCTTATTTCCTTGGTCTCGTTAATGTTGACCTCTATGGCTTCTTTTGTATTTGGTACATGGTTATGGTCGTTGATGGGGAAGGTGTTGGTGGAGGATTTTCTGAAGGTTAATTCTTTTGTTCCAGGTTTCATCCCGCTTGTATAAGTATGACCCCAGAAGATGCGAAAAGGTTGGAACATTTCTTTTGCGAAAATTGTTCTCCAGATGATGATGTGAAGAGGACACGCAATTCTCGTAATTTCTCCAAACACTCGGAGATCAAGGTATGCACATTCTGGTTTTTCCCTAAATTGAAAAACTCTAGTAGTTCCCTTTTTTTAAAAAAAAATAAAATAAAAAAAAAATTGGCTATACCAGTTGCTAGAGTAGGCTTCATTTGCTTGTGTTATATTGTTTTTTATTTAAATGTTGGATAGGTATTCACCATTTTAAAGAACAAAAATGTGTATTTTAAGTTGCCATGACCTAGTAGGTTTTAGAAAAGAAAAGAGGTGTCATGACCTTCTCTATTGTTTCTGTTGGATATGAGCCTTTTAGCAATTGGGTAAGGTTTTTGATGCAGGGAGAAAAAAATAATTATAATAAAAGTAAAACAATGGGTGAGAGATTATACCTTCTCTTAGGGTTTGCAAGAGAATCCACCCCCAACGAGAGAATATCCCCTCTCTCAAGGGCTGCAAGGTAATCCACCCCAAAAACGATCTTTCCACGAGACCAAATTTTACTCAATTTCAATCTCTGATCATTCTCTGATCTTTTATAATGAAGGGACATCTCCCTTTAAATAGACTTTGAGAAAAAAAAAAAAACAATAAAAAAAAACATCAAAATATAATCTCTCTCTTTCATGTACCATCTCTCTCCCTATTTTCCCTCTCTTGAAAATATCATCTTTCTAGATTTCTCTCAATATTTTCTTTTTCATGAAAATATCATCTCTCTTAAAAGTTACGCACCATATTTGTCAATCTTTATCTTCTTCATATCTAAATCGCTTATCTTTCTTCTATTTAAATACCCCTTAAATCTCACACTAAATCTAATTAAAGCTTTGAAGCAACTTTATATAAGATAAGCTTAAAAAAAAACTTAACTCACACCAAAATTTACCTTTCTTAAAAACTCACGCTACCTATTCCTAAAAATCTGCATCATTCTTCCCGTGGGAGAAGCTTGAACTCGAGCTTATAGAACTTAAATCTTTTAGAGGTCTTTTCAAAAGCTGGTGATATAGTCCCACCATGCGCCTCGACACTTTTTCTTCAATTTATTCATTAAGCCGATTCATCAAATGTTTCGTGCTCATCTCGAAGTAGAATACAGTGACCTCGGGCTCAATCTTGATTTCTCCTTCAGCTCAATTGGTTGGATTTCAAATACTGCATCACACATATCTTCTTCTTCATAATTGATTTTCAGAGTTTCTTGTACATTGGGGTTATCGGCGCCGTCTTTCATATCGAGATCTACTTCTTCATATTCTTATTCCTCTTGTTTCGCTTGCAATCTATGAAATAGATCTCGTAGACATTGTTCTACTACTTTGCTAATACGCTTTACTATGTCTTTTTTGAGTCTATCAAATCTTTGATCGAAGCTCCCTATAACTAAATCAGGATCTCAAGGTTTTGATACCAATTGATGCAGGGAGAAAAAAATAACTATAATAAAAATATAATAATAGGTGAGAGATTATACCCTCTCTCAGGGTCTACAAGGGAATCCACGTATACTCTCTCTCAGGATCTGCAAGGGAATCCACCCCAAAAACGATCCTTTCACAAGACCAAAGTTTACTCAATTTCAATATCTGATCATTCTCTAATCCTTTACAATGAAGGGACATCTCCCTTTAAATAGACTTTGAGGAAAAATAACAAACAATAAAAAAAACACGAAAATATAATCTCACTCTCTCTATCTCACATACCATCTCTCTCGCTAATCTACAACTATGCACACAAATGATATAGTTATATACCAAGGTGAGCCAGATGCTATTCACATCTAGCTTGTCAATTATGCTTTGAAACTGAAGCCTAACATAAATGCTTCTCCTCACTGTGGATCACGGGTGCCTATCATTTCTAGCTTGTCAACTGCTGTCTAAATTGAACAATAAAAGAAAGAGAAAAAAGAAAAATCACTATTCTATCCAAGGAATGGATTTTGGAAAGGAGGCACACAAGATCTGTAATTACCTTATTTTTTGGGTAATTCGATCTGTAATTACCTTTGGCGTGTGAATGATCCTAATCAACAACTTATGGAAATAATTGGAACCTGAGTTGTGCGTATGGAGTGTGACTAGTACTTTCTCTGTAAGACACTTATTTTTTGGATTGATGACAAAAATTTGATTGATCAAAATGAAAGACAGCACAAGTTGCAAACAACACAAGGGTGTAAAATATTAAAAGGAAAAGTAAATGCAAAATAAGTCCAACGGATGTCAAGGCAACACCACCTTTGGTTGGTGCACGCTAGACATGAGGGAACCCATTTTTATGGTATGCCTCATCTGTTACAATGGTTTTATGTAAGCCATAAAACAATTTATCGATTTATCTCTCATGCCTTCTCCTTTGGACCCATGGGCCTCTGAAACTCTTCAATCTAATGCTAACCATGATCACGGTGGTCAAGGACGGCTCTCTATTCCTCTCTATGAAGTGTGCAATTGGTGGCATTAAGAGAATAATCGTCTCATGCCCCAGAATCTGAGCCCAGATATGTCTTTTCTTTATATTTTCTTCTCAAGAATCCCAAAATTTTCTGCTCTCTTTTAACTGCTTTCCACTCATGTTGTCCTCCATTATGTACACTTTCAGCATTCACTAATGTTGTAACATCCATTTTATATGTTTTATGTTGTGTGGACACATTGGAGAATCTGGTTTCTATCTTCTTGTTGTGTTTGACACCTTATATACCTATCAGATACTTGTGTCGGTTGTAATGCAAAATTGATACTGTGTCTGAGAGTGAGATTTGGAGTATCGCCTTTTTGTTTTACTTTTTAGTGAAAGAATGGTTGCCTCATTTTCTTTTATTACAGAACGGCCCTTAAGTCAGGCAACATTGAAATTTATAGTGAAGTTAAAATTGGATTTGTAGAGTTGTGGGTGGACTATATGGTGAAGAGTCAAGAATACTAAAGAAAATGGTGTCTACACCTGACCCAGTGTTGTCATGGGCATTCTTAGATAAAGAATTTTTTGGTTAACAAACATATAGCCCGGAGTCATATTCATGTATTCACAGGGTACAAGCACAACCGTTTCAAACATTTTCCATAGCTTTCTTAAAATCAAAATAATTGATGTACATGCATTTGTTTTGGTCTCTCTCTATTGAAAGTACTTTTTCTTCATGAATCTCAGAATATGATTGTAATGTTCTCAGCATGTGATTTAGGTGGAGTCAAAACGTCGGAGGAGAGAGAAGTCCTGAGAAAGCAAAATGTTAACATGGATGGCAGCTTTCTCATTCTGAAGGCCTCCAAACACTTGAAGGGCACTTATTTTAAAAGGGGAAAGAACAGTCGAGCCAGATATGTGCAGAACAATTGTGAGCAGGTATTTATCTTTGGTGCACAGTAAATGCAAATCTAAACTGACGTTTGAAGCTTTTTGAATTAGGTTGTAAAGTTTGGTTGCAGTATTTCTCTGGTCAAGAAGAGAGTTGTTGTGGTCCATAGAGTGTGGTTTTGTAACTTTATGAATGTGAAGTGGATGGAGTGCCATGAGAGACTTTGTTTATATGTTTCCTTATTGGTTACCAAGTTGATTAGCTTGGCTGTATGCCTATTATTGTTCGTAAGCCACGAACTGTTGTATAGCCAGCTATAAATAATAACTTTCTTGGTTGTTGATATCATCCTTGCCGAATGATCTCTTGTTGCTTCTTGGTACTTCACCAATTCTCTGTAATCTGAGGAGGGCATGGAATTTGATCTTGTAGCTTGGGGCTTTTTAACTGTAGGGGCGTGTCCCTTTGTTCCAAGGCTGCAAGCATTGGCTGTGAACATACTCTCATTTGATACATTTCTCAGTTTGAATGTTCTCTCCTCTGTCAATATGGCATCTATCCAACACCTTTAAAGGAGCATCAATTTTCTTGGATATGTTGGGTATCCTAGTTTAGTATTGTTATTTTGTATGGGTAGACTGGTTTTCTTTTTTTTTTTGGGGTGGTGTGTGGGGGTGTTAGAAAGAGAGGAGAGAGAGAGAGAGAGAGAGAGAATGTGTGTGAAAGAGAGCTCATGTTGAAAGCTGGAAAAGTTTGTGAAAGCTTTTTTGTGGATGCTGCAGTAACTATTACTTTTATTGGAAAAAAAAAACATGGATAGCAATAGTCAAGCGATGAAGAACTTTATCAATGGAATTCTTTTCTGCTAGAATAACCATGACCTTAAGCATGGTTTAAGAGAACTCGTATACTTTCGAGTTTGAGCAGGGTTGATAGGTATATTCATATGTACTAAACACGTTAGCACTTTGTGTTTCAGAGTAATTATGGTGACTTTGTAATTTGTTTACGATAAATTTACTTAAAAATAAGTGTTGTTATTTTGAAACTTGTTGATGGTGTTTTATGGTGGAAGGTCACATGTCATTTTGAAGCTTGTTGGGGGTCCTTTTGTGAGTTCACCTCTTCGTAGTCAAGTCAATGGGTTCCACCTCTTGATGGGCCAATGACTGCCCATCCACAAGAGCCAGTTAAAAGAGTTCATTCTTTTGGAAGCCTAATGAATGTGACAGCAGTATGTATTACATAAACTACAACCTTGAGGTATGTGGTGGTTAGATTTTCTCTTGTTTTCTTCTCTAGGTGGCGTTTGAAGTTTTGTCCCCAGATCATCTCACTCTTGTTCCAGTTGGAAGTTGGAACCATCAGTAAGGCTCCTTCATCCCCAGTGGAACCGCAGTAAATTTCTTTGCCCGAAACTCCATTTCGGTTTTTTTTAGAAAGTGAATCAGATAGTTTCTATTGCCTCTAGTGATCTTGTGGGTATCTTATTGTAACTTGTCTGTGGCTTAAGAAATCAAATCAAGAACTTACGAGTACCTTGAAAACAATGAGAGCATCTCATTTCTTTGGATCCAAGTCGAACACAACTCAAACTTCTTTGTGTTTACTTTTGGTTTGTAGGTTGTTTGAGATCTCCCATGCTCTTTTTTTTATCTTTTGATGCTCAACTGGTTAATTCCTTTATGGGACTTTCAACTTTGAAGAAAATCACTGCAGCTTTGATAACAGAGAAGTCCTGTACCTATAATATGGATATGTCAGAGCATATTGATATATAATATCAGACATGGAAAATGAAAAAGAACGATTATTTTTCAAAATAACAGGGATATTTTGGGACATACTTGGCCAATAAAAAATACGATAGTCTACCCATTATGTTTGGTTCTTCTACCCCTGCAATTTCAGTTTGGTGAACCCACCCAAAGTGGATTATTAAAAAGTCCAAGCGCTCGACCATTTCATTTAGAGAATATATTGATATTGTTTATCGATATTTAAAAAAACGAGTGCAATTTGTATAAGACACCAACCTTGCAAAAGCAAGATTACAATGTCCTACATAGTTCATTTTAATTTGAAGGTTATAGAGACTAGATTTGACATGTTTTTTAAAACTCAAAAAAAGAATATTTATAAGATCATGTTAAATCTACACCATCTAAATAAAATACCTTACACCATCTAAATAAAATAGCCGGTGTACATTACTACAAATGTACTTCTGTAAGCTTGTTAACTTTGTAGAATGACTTTCCAATCAGTAGAATGACTTTCCAAACATATTTACAACGGATAGAACAACTTTTTAGAAGTAACTAGACACACCAGGTTATATATTGCTCATTAGAATGTAACCGCCCATATTTTAACCAATCTTCAAATAGTCGGACTTCGGCTCTTAACTCCTTGAGGTCCTGAGTCAAGAGTACCCACAGTGCACCTCTAGCAAGTCACAGTTCACACCGGAAATTTTTTTAATAAAAAAAGCTGGAGACTTCGGTGGTTGCTTTAGCAAATGCTACGAAGGACAAAACTACTCAAATCATCTGAAGAACCATCCAGATTACAATTCAAATTTGCAAGATAAATTCAAAAGTTCAAAACCGTTGGTTAACAAAATTTGGTATTCAAAGGACCTGCCGAAAAGCAGTGAGAACCCTGGTTTAAATAGGAACACTTCCTGGGTTCTCTTTTGTGAATTGCATCTCTCAAGGGCACACCTGATGCCTCTGAAAGGTGAAGTGCACTTGATCTATATCCATTTCACTAAACAGCAAAATAAGAAGAAATATCTGCTTCAAGAAAATACGTTCAAAATGGTACAGAAATTGGGTGGAGTTGTGCAAATCAGCAATGCTAATTTATTTGCTTCACCTCTTAACGTTTGCAGCCTTTCTCTTGACAGACCGAACTAATGAAGAAATCTCAAGCTCATCTTTCTTTGAGGACATATCTTCCTTCTGATCTTGAACTGTCGGCTTTTCAGGTTCCTCCACTACTGTTTTCAGGCCCTTCTTTTCCCAAGCTAAACGTCGGGCATCGCCCACACTCCTGCAACAGAGAGCAAAGTCCTCAAATCTTTCCATCTTCCGATAGCCTAAGATAATGAATATATCTTTTTCTTTTAACAAACTTGACTGTATGGTATGCTACAAGAAGATAAATACGAAGTCTTGGAAAATATCTTTAGTTATGGCTTCAATTAAGGGAAAATACCACAAGAAAGTGCATTCAAGAGAAGCAGAAATTATGCAGGACACGATATCTTGGAATCTCATTTCAGTGCCTGGAGTTGTAAAACTTCTCTAAATGATTATGTTACCCATTTGTCAAATGCATTTTACTGAACTATCATTAATCTGCATGATAAAATACCACCCAAGGGTGAGTCATCTGTTCAAAATGACTACGACAAACACAATTTTGACATTCCAAGATTTTGGAGCAGTTGTTCCAGGTACACAGACTTGTAGCAAGCAGCTAGTATTTGTCATCCATGGTAAAAAAAAAAAATTAAAAAATACAACCATCAGGCAAAAATTACAAGGAAACGTAAATGTAATATCTAGCAAAATAAGGACTTTGCACTTGCACCCAAAAAAAAATTTGTATACAAAGACTTGGCTGCGAAAATCACGCACCTCGAGTATTGGGGATCTGTTGGGTCCAATGCAAAGAGATGGGATGTGAAGAGAGCTGAAAACCTTGGATCATCATAATAATTAACGTTAGGAAGCTTGTCCTCTCCAACCACTGCCGCCTTCCTTTTTCCCTTACCCTTCTTTGCCTTTAAGTTAAATCCTTTGACCTTGGTTTCAGTTCCATGGTCATCAGCAAGCAACAATTCAAGTTCAGCTGTGGTTGCCTCTTGCCCCTTGCTTTCAGAATGTTGGTTTCTGTCCTTATCCCTCTTAGCCTTCTTTTTCAATGGGCCTTTCGCAACACTTTCTTCATCAACACCATCATTAGCATCTGAAACTTCTTCTATAAAAAAGTCATCACGCTGGTCATGAGTTTCTTGATAAGAATCGTCACTTTCGTCATCCGATGAGGACTTCTTGGCATTTTTCCGTGCCTTCTTCTTCTCTTTTCTTTTCTGTAGAATTTGTTCCCAGACAGTCTGCGACTTCTTGTCCTTTTTCTCAAGAATTCGCTTGCTTATGTCCTCTAAACCAGTGTTGAAAGTAACCTCCATATCCTTGTCATCCTCATCTTCTGCATCTTCATTATCCCCAGATTGTAGAAGGGCCCGGTACTTTTCTTGCTTATTGGGCTTCTGAGAAGTTCCAGCAGCATTTTTCTCATCATCATCATCTTCTTCTTCATCATCACTTTCCCCATCATCAGAAGCCAAAAACTCCTTAAACTCCATCTCATCTAGCTGCACCATATAAAAGTAAATTAAGCTATGATGAAATAATCTTTTCATTCTGTATGAGTACAAATTTCAAAGAACTATACAGTTTTAAGTGTTTCCTCAACACTTGATTTTAGAGTTCGTTTGATACTTGCAATTTCAACAACATGGAGGGCTGGTGCCAAGAAGCAACTTGGGGGAGGCGGGGGACTGGTAGGTTGTTGTTTATGAGTGTGTGTGTAAGACAGTATATGGGCCCGTGTGTGTGAGAGAGATCTCACATCGAAATCTTGGAGGGCATGATCTCTTTCATCTTTCTATATGTAGAAAGACAGAAAATAAGAGTCCTTGAGAGAGGGGGCCTCACAACGAACACATGGAGGTCATCTTCTTCTTTTTCTTCTTATACAAAGAGTAAGAGCATATGTGTCCATGTGTGTCTATGTAAGTGTGTGACTGTGTGATAGGGAGCCCTCACATCGAACAACTGAGGGCATCTTTTTCCTCTTCTTCTTATTCATAGAGAGAGAGCACATGGGTCTGTGAGTGAGAAAGAAGGGCCTTGACCCCTTGACCATTTTTATAGGCCTTAACTTTTTTTTTTTTTTGGATGGCACTAGGCATGTAGGGGTTTAGGGGGTTAGATTTCCCCCCCAAAACCCTTTTCCTCCCTTTTCAGGGTGGAAATTTACTTTTTTGCCTTAGCCGAGGGCCATTTTCCGGCCTCGACCAAGTTGCTCCAAGGCGCCACATATGCGCTCACCTTGAGGGAACCGCCTAAGCAGCCACCTAGAAGCAAGTATGCCGAGGGCACCTGCATAAGCATTTTAGCGATACTTGTTCGTCCAACAAAACTTTCCGGCAATTGTTGGTAACATTCTCGATGACACTCCAAAATCAAAACGCTAACACAAATTAATCCTTAAGCTTAAGGGTAGCTCCTCAGCCTTTGAACTAGGATACATCTATTATTACTATTTTCAGTTTTCTTAGAAAAGTATGGCATATCATGCTTATTACATATCAAGGTGCAAACAATACAATAAAACCAACTCAACCAGTAGGCGTAGCAAAGCGCCAGGGGGCCCACCCCAAACAGCCCAGGCGTGGGCAACTAAATTCGGCCCGAACTGGGCCCAGGCCTGAAATCTACGCCTAGTGTACAAGCTAAGCATGGCGTTGGTCAAGAGGTATGGCCCGGTCCCGCCCCTAACAAGGCCGGGCCAAGGCCCAAGAGTAGAACTGGGCTTGGTCTAGGCCGAGCTGGGCCACGCAAGCCCTCTAAGGTCCTGAGCAGAATTGGTCCAGCCCAATCCTGGACGATTACCCTTGTTCAATAAACAAGCTCAATGCACTATTTTTCAAAATAAGTATTAATTAAGGACGATAGAATGCTAAGCAGACCTCTTTCAGTTGTAACTCTTCGTGTGCCACTTAAAATATTTCAGTTCTGATTAGGAAAAGTTCTCAAGAGGAACTAGTGTTTAAAAGATAACTTATATACAATTAGGGTAAATAGTCAGAAAACAAAATTCTAATTAATGATAAAATAATTTTATTTTTAATAAGCACGTGCATCCCCCAAACCTGCTCAGGATCGAATTTTCGCTTCAAAGTTTTGATACGATGTGGTTCATCATCATCCCAAGACAGATTAATATTACTATGCTGCAACACACGTGTATGGAAATCCAAAGCCTCATATGTGCCAGGTGCCTGAGACAAAATTAAAGAATGTTAAGCAAAGAGCACTATGATAGCATATTGTAGTGCACTACTAGATTATCTATAAGGCAATTCTTTTGTTTCTATAAATAGTTAAATATCAACATGATAAGGGAAAAAAGATTCCGCCTCATGGGGAAGCATGATTCCACTATTTAGAAATGTCACCATTCAATCATGCTTACAGCAAAGGCAATGACTGATTAGCATTCTTCTTAATAAAGGGGGGTTTTGGTCATCATATGCACGTAGTATATCTCCTATATCTTGTATATATAAGGGAATGTTTGTTACACGATTGGGATCCCAAGGGCCTTATAGTGACACGTTCAATCTAACTTTGTGCATCACGATCCCCAAATAAATAAACAGATTCATTCTCATTCCCAAAATATGGGATCTAAATATGGTTAAAATCTGGTGAAACATGATTGTGGATACTTAAAAGATCTGGAATACAGTCGGAAAAATCTGTAAAGAAAGAACCATGGCACAAGTTTTTCTATATTGAACTACTTTGCCCTTATTATCCAGAAGTACATGGAAATTTATGGCAAATAAAAGCACATTGATGGCCATTTTACAGTGAAAGATGCACATTTACAAAGAAAGAAATTTCAAACAAATACACATTTCCATGTTTGCAAAGTCACTATATGTTATTAAGTGGATGCTGAACCCATATACACCAGGAAGCCCAGCAGACACCATATATGCAATGTCACTCCAGCTGTTATAGTTTGTTCCTATGGTTTTAAACATCATAGGCATACCCCTGTTGCAATGTCTCGTGGAGGATGATTAAACTTCACATCATCAGGAATGAACCTCAAGTCTAATACATTGGAGGTCCTTTCAAACTCAACCCCATCGCATGTCTTGTAAAGGCGGTCAGCTGTGGCACTTGAGTCGCATTCCACAACTGCGTAATAATACCTGATGAATTCAAATCAAGCCTAAGTAAACTCTAGTGCTTGCTATTACCATTAACAGAATAACAGCATGCCTAAATGAAATAGGTCCAATGTTTTGTCTGATTATGAGTATGCACGTTATATCGAGAGGAGGGGAAGGGATAAGGGAATTATTTCTTGGTGAGTTAATGCTACATGATGGGAGAAAAAAGATTAGACATGTCGAAAGTAACCTTGAAGGTTGTCACTTACATTTGATTGCCATGGCATACTAAACAAGCTATTAATTTGTAATCTCGTCTAACAAATGCATGTCTCACCTTAGCCTGCTTTTCTCGTATTCTCGCAACTTGTCCTCATCAATATCAGCATCCTCATCATCCCCACTATTCTCCCCATCACTTTCAAAGATGCCAGGGCCATGAACTGCTTCTTCTTCCATACGCTTCAGCCCAAACTCTGATGGATAAATGGCCACCGATAAAATTCGTCCATCTTTGGGAAGAAATGAGTTCATCAACACATACAAATCAACAGCCTATAAAATATGACGAAATTTCTCAATCACTAACAGATGGTTAGCATCTATCAAATGACAGCGCTAGTACAGTAAGAAATTAACAAAAGACAAACAATTAATAGACATAAAATCCTAAAACATATGCTTTTCCAAACTAGTGCATATTAGAAAAAAAGAAAATCCAATTAGAAAGGAAGAAAATGCCAAGCAGTTAACTAATTAAGCCATTATCAAAGATTTTCTGATCAATAACAAACTGAGAAAAAAGCTTAGAAATGATTTACCATGGAAGTCAAATAGGACCATCAAGGAAAAAGATGATTCACTTCATGGAAACCTTTAGAAACATACAATTGCTTCATATTCAAAATATTTGTGAATCTCATATATGATATATGCTTCTGACGGTCATTAAATCACCAATAAGGATGCCAATATCAACTATTTATTTCTTTTTATTACAAACTATAATTTCTTCAAAATCTATATTTTAGATCTAGTAGCTTAGTTTCTCTCTAGAATTTTTTGCATTTCCACTGCTGAAATTACATGGAGCTCCCAATCTTTTCCCACAAATATCTACAGTTTCTGAGCTTCTCGAAACCAAGACTTTCTGTTGTGATCCAGTGCTCTTCAAGCCCTAATAACTTAACACAACTTGCCACTAATATGTTTCCAAGGCATTTTCCATAACTAAATCAAAACTCAGATAAAACTATATTTCATGCTTGAAGTAGTGATAACAAAAGCGTATCACATTGTACTGATCAACAATATATCAGAAAAAATCGATTTCATTAGTTATAGAAAAAAAATATAACTGTGAATAATAATAAGAGAGACTGGGACGTGCTCTCGAAAGGTTCATCCATTTGCAGCATGACTTCCACATTTAAAAGAGAAGAACAAACCAGAACAAATTATCAAAACAGGGAACAGAGGAATATGTACCTTGACATGATTCCAATCCATATCAACAATAGCCAATCTGTGTGTCTCATGTTCAATTGCAGGTACTTCTTCCTAATTCCATAAAATAGAGAACATAAATTAAGTTAGCATTTAATCATGGTTATTGGTCAGCAAAAACAAAATTTACAGTAGATTAAGGAAAAAAGAAACCATCACTCTTACTAGTACATTCTATGTCAAGATTGGTAAAAAGACTTGTCCACATACAGCATAACCTTTATGGTGAAGCAATGACAAAAGTCTACAAAAAAAATAATGAAATTAAACCCCCCAAATACATGCATATGCTACATAAACATTAGCCTGCCTCAAGTGGAAGTGATGAAGTGATGAATTTGCTTGGAACTATTACGGCATAAATCCTTGAAAGATTCTCGGAAGAGAACTTGTCTCCTTAAGCTTTTTACACCAATGGTCTAACAATCTACAGTGCTCAAATTATACATTGTGCGAGTTAAATAACCAGCAATCATACACAAATGCAAAGTAAATAGGAAAACATGGAGGCGCCTTCAAGTGTTATATAGCAAATGGTGCGACAATAACATAAACAACATAATCTCAGATAAATAACATAAACCAGATAAGCTCAGATAAACAATGGCATCAATCCATATAATTCACCTTTTTGGACAATTCATCCTCTGTTTCAAAGCCATCCTCCTCATCTGAGGAAGAAGAAGATGAAGATGGATCACTCTGATATTCGTCGAGGCTATCCCTATCGTATTTCTCTAATCCACTAGAACCCATGTCCAATGAATCCTCCTCACTCTCCGAGTATGATTCCTCTTTCAAGTCAGTTTCTTCATCATGCGTTATATTCGTCTTTTCATCCTCTTTCTCCCTCTTCTTCTCCTTTTTCTTCTTCTTCTTTTCCTCCTCCTCCTCCCTCTTCTTCTCCTTTTTCTTGTTCTTCTCTATCTTCTCTGAATCACCACGCCCTTGTTCAGATTCATGGGCCTCTTCTCCACGACATTCTGTGCTTTCACCACCTCCCACTTCAGTGCCCTCTGCAAATTCTGCTTTATTCTCCTTCCTTTTCTTCTGCTTCTTCTCCGTATTCTTCTTTCTCTTTTTCCTCTTAGGATCGCCAAGCCCAAGTTTCGATTCATGAGCCTCTTCATCTCCATTGGAATCCACCGGCAAACCCTTCTCCGAATCACTCAATATGGAAGTTTCTTGTAAATCTTCTTCATAAGAGAATTTGGGTTCCTGTGATTCCTCCGTATTATCTAGGTTATGATAGTAACGGTGAAGACCATCATTTCCCTTCTTCTTCTTTGCCAGGGGTCTTCCCCTCTTGTCGAGAATTGGAGCCGTAGAGAAGTTGGGGTCTGAGAAAATGCGATTAAAGCGAGAATCGATGGGGACCTTTGAATTGTGCTTCGGGACTCTCTGAAAGCGAGGATCAGAGTGAAGAGCAGAGAAACGAGAGTCTGAGATAATGTTGTTGTTCTTGCTTCCTGGTTTAGCCTTCTCACTCTTCTCCTTTGCCATGGCTCTCTTCTCGCCCTTCTCCTTTACCATGGCGCCCGTTCTCCCTACAATCGCGTTACCCCTCTCTCTTCTGAGTTTCTTCCTCTTCCCCTCTCACTCTATAAAAAGTTCGAGCTACTCCTCTCTCTGAACATTCGGCCTGCCTCTGTGCTCTTCCAGTTAGCCTGCATCGCAGCTCAATAAAAGTTAGGGTTTGGTGTTTGGGGCTTTAGTTGTCGAATTTGGGTGGGAGGGGCGGTTTCAAATCCGTATTATAAAAATAGAAACCGGCTATTATTTCAACCTGCAGGGGTGGTCAATCTACACCGGTTTGTTTCGGTAGACCGGTTGGCTTAGATTTTGGGAAAATTGTATAGACTTTCAAAAAATTGGTCTTTCTAAACAATTTACCACCAACTTAACTTTTTTTTTTTTTTTTTTAAGTCAACTTTTTTCCCAAAATTATGCTTCCTAGCAAATATTCCTCAACTAAAAAAAAAGACTAAAATACCCCTCCTTAGCTCCAACACTTCACCATGGTGGTCCGCGTTTGGAAGAGGCGGTCCGGCGCTTAAGTCACTGATTTGGAATGGTCTGGCACTTCACCATAGCGGTCCAGCACTTCATCATGGAGGTTCGGAGTTTGGAAGAGGCGGTTCGGCATTTGTTTTTAGATTAATGAGCGGTCCGACATTTGTGAGCTACTGTCTAGCAAAATTGAAAATTGTGTCTGGATTAGGAGGCCCAACAGTGTACAGTTCCGGTCCAACAGAATGGATGGATCCGGCAATATACAACCACGGTCCGGCGTTTCCTTTTATTGGAATCTGAAAATGATTTGTTATGTACGGGAAGTGTATTTACGTCAAAAAAAATGAACTTTTTGTATTTGAGGTATTTGTTATAAAACTTGATTTTTGAGAAAAATATGTTATGAAAAATTAGGGTCGGCAAAGTCCCTAGAAAGTCTATTTTTTTGGGTTTTATAAAAATTTTCCTAAATTTTTTTAAAAAGAACGAGGATACTAAGCTCCCTCAGGAGCATACTGTGAATATACTCATTCACTCAAAACACGTATTTAGAAGCCAAAAAGGACTAGGGCTGGGCTAGATCCAGGGGCGGCCTGACCCATTGCCACCCCTAAGTGCAACCGATCAACAACCATCAAGGATGTATTATAGTAAAGGAAGATTCAATAAATGGAATAATATGGTGCAAGGAAAAACAAAGAGTTCCATACAAATTTAGCAAATCCTTGAAGTCAAAGCCATAAAAAGTGATTCGGAAAAAGAGTAGGGAAAGGTTTCCATATTTTTATTTTTTATTTTTTTTAACAAGAAAAAAGTTTCTATATTTCTCCTACTAAATGAAAGATATATACTTCCCTTTCTATCCAACTGTCCAATTTTGAACATGTGAGCCCTTACCATTTAATCTAGATCTAACACTTTAGAGTATTTCATTTTTAATTTATTTTCTACAAATTATAGGAATATTAAATTTGAAACGTGCCATCATCTCAATGGAGTACATCTAAAACAAATATTAAAAGAATATTTTCAGTAAAATATAATAATCAAAATACTCTTAAAAAATTTAGGGATATTTTGGTTATTTTGTTTTATTGGAAATATTTTGTTCTATATTTTTTTATAGGTGCGAGTTTAAAAGGCGAGTGGACTCCCAAAATTTGATAATTAAAAATAAAACAATGTTGAACCGTGATATTGTGATTGGGGTCATCTCAACCGTCCATTATGGAAGAAGCATATAAGTTTCATACATTAGGAGAAGTATAGAAAGTTTGCCTATAAAAGTATACCCATATCTAATTTTGTGGTTGATGATATGCAAAATATGGGGCCATTGAAAAAAATTTACTAAAATAAGGAAATTTATTATAATATACCATATCCATATACTATTTAACCTTTTACCTATTCCAACTCACCATCATGTGCATTTTGATGGAATTCTTGAAATAAAATATAAATAAATGAAATGTTAAATATTCCACCTCCAATTTGCATCTTGATAAATTTCCCCTTGTATTAAGAATCGATTAAAAAAATCTTGTAAGGCGCTAGAGAACACAATGATGGACTAATGGCTGGACAGTTTGACGAGGCAAAGTTAAATCACTTGATGCTAGACATATAATGATCTTTGAGGTGGGGAACAAATAGAAGAGAAACTATGAAATATGACACGTATATCTTTTACACTGAGACACATATCGATACTAACATTGAGTGTCCAATAGACCGTCACTTTTTTGGACACATTTTGTTTTGAACACGGTTTTTATGCGGCGAGCCAGCATATTGTAGAATGCGGGCTTGGCAATAAATATATTTTTTAAATATAATTTGATTCTAAATTTTAAAAAATATATAATCTTTAACATGGAGATCGTCAATGTAAAAAAAAAATTTGAAAACTTAAAATAATTAATCATATTAAAAAAAAGATTTGGACCGTTAGTTACAATTGTTTTTAGATGGACCACCTATTTGCATCCATCTTTAAGATGGACGTTTTATACTTCTTGATCGCATATTGTAGAAATGCGATCTAAGCCCGCATGAAACAATTTTCCTTTTGTTTTTAGAGTGTGGTGTTCTATTTTAAAAAGACTATTTTATTTTGAAAATAAAAAAGTTCCATAATAAAATAATTTAAAATTGTCATTGCTTACATATGTCAATTTTAAAATGCCTGTGTTCATAAAATATTTTTTATTTTTTATTTTTTATTTTCAAAATATAATAAGTTGAATCCGATTTTCATTTTTAAAACAGGGACAATTGTCCATGCTTATATAAGTCATTTTGAAATTCCTAATTTATGTAAGTCAATTTCAAAAAATTGTCTATATTTGTTTATGAAAATTGCATGCGTTTACATAAGTCAATTTCTAGATGCCCATCAATTTTTTTAAAAAAGAATATTTTGAATTTTATGGTTTTAGATTTTTTTTTTCATGTTGTTCCGATGCAACCTTGGACTTCCTATAAGAAAATTTTTGATGAATAAAATTCAAATTCACAAAGTGATAACTTTTTGTTTGTGATGCATGGCTATTGTCATGACATATGAATTGTAGTATATTTAAATGCACATTAAACTATAAACACTATAAATAATTTTCAATATATGTATGTATATACATATGCATAGACATGTACACATGCAAATTATACATAGATGTTGTTTCTAGATGGTAATTTTTGGGATTCACATTTTTTACACTTGCATTTGTATCACAAATAGATACTCATATTCCTTTCTATATATCATATAAGAGAATAAAGATGAGCTACTTCAGATTAAATTAAGGGATTACATATAAAAAGACCGTTTATCTTTTGTATATAGAGGTCATAATCATTATTGTCCCTTAAATTTCAAAATTGGTAGTTACAAGAGTGTTATTGAAAAGGGACAAAATTCCAAAAAAAAATCTCAGACTTCATGATATCCCAAATCTTCCAATTTGACATCTAATGAGTAAAAATAATTGTGACCTCCGTGTACAAAAGAAAAATGATATGTTTGTAGACAATCCCTTAAATTAAACTTAGCCAATTTATGGGAAATCTCCTTCAAAGTGGCATTGTGTCTTTCCTTTTTAAACATAGGAATATATTTTTACCAGTTATTAAAATTGAGGTACAAAGCATCATCATCATAGTTGGGAGACAAATTGATGTGCACATCAGGCTATAAAAAAATTGTCTACGAAGGCATTACAAAAGTTAGAACTGTGCAACTGTGAAGAAGGCATTAGAAACTCTCACCTTTGTTATGCAGTCTGCTAATGTGTTTTTCTCTCAGTAAACATAGTATGAAAGAGATTAGCAAACCTTTGAAAGTGTCTTTGATTTCATCAATTTGTAGCCTTTCAAATTGTCTTTTGATTTCATCATTTACAGGTCGTAGATTTCACAGCTTTCTTGTGTCCTCTAATCTACTCAACAATGTTGCGCGAATCTCCTTCCACCACTAGTACCGTCAATCCGTCGCTTGGCTGTTGTACACCTTCTAAGATTCCATACCTTTTCATCAATGGTATATCAAAGTCTTAAATCTTAATAGTAAGAGAGCCATGGAGGAATAGGTGGCTAACTGATTTCCTTGTTACTTTAACAGACATAGGATTGGGAATTTTAGGCCTCTTTGCCTAAGAAGGTCCACTATAAGGGAATTCTCCAATATGACCATCAATAGCATGATTTTTGTGAGGAGCTGGGAAAGCCCCTTGCTAATGCAATGGTGGATAACGTTTGTTACTGTAATTTGTTCCTCCTGTCTTTTGTCATATCATTAGATGTTATTAGTTGTAAAACTTTGAATTTCTTAATATAATAAATTAAATATTAGGATTTTGTGTGTGAGGAAGTTGGTTTTCTACTATCCCATTTTCTCCTTTCTAAGATTCTATGTCATTGCATATGCATATTTCATTATTGATTGTATCGGCCACTCATTGATCAGGTGCATCAAAACATATCTAATCCATGGGGTTGGAGTTCTGAAACAATCATAGCAAGAACAAAAGAAAAAAAAAAAAACTTGTCCTAGTAACTTCACAAAAAACAAAAAACAAAAAAAACCAAAAATTGTTGAAGGTGATTAATACTCAAGTCATAGAAAGGGTCCAGTTAAACCACGGTTCAAGGAAGTTTGGAATACACATATGCAGCCAATAATCAAATGGTTCACCTGGTTAGCCCTCCAATAAATTTTCTCCAACCTCGTGGTATTAATTTAGTTTCTTGACACCCACTGTGCCAAGCAAATGAGGTGTTGGCCTAGCGTTTGATGCATTCATGTGCCTATATTATGCAAGCATGGGAAGATGTACTTCAGATGTTCTTGAAATGGTGGAAATTGAGATTCTACATCAAGAGGAATGAGGCATATTTAATGGCGATCATTTGGTTTATTTTGCAATAGGGAAACTAGAGAATCCATGACGACCAACCTACACCTTGAGAAAGTATTCTCAAGCTATCTTTTATGCTGGTGAAATGATCGATGTGAGAAATATGGAGATTCCACTACCATAGAAAATATGAAGCTTAAGTGGATAGAATCTTGTCAACGACATATTTTAAATGTGCAGCGCCCTCCTCCGAATCTTGGTGATTTGAATTGTGTATTGACGGAGCATCATAAGGATCCCAGAAGGGCTGGTTGTGGAAGCATTATTCAGGATCATAATGCGCGATTATTAGCTGCTTCTCAT